TTTATTAGGCTTACGAACAACTCAACGACAACAACGTAACAGATATACCGGTAGCTTTGTTTCGTAAACAAAGACTTCGAAGTAACTTTCGCAAGCTCTATTAGTTGAGAAACAATGACCGGCCAAACGCCATGCCATTTTATCATTACCTATATATTTTTTAATGTTTTGCTTTTGCTGTTTATGGTTCAACTCCAACTGGGTTTTTTTCACATTTCAGATTCATTTTGAAATCGTATGTGTCATATTTTTTCGGATAGATACACAGCTTTTTTTCTGATACGCATCAGTATTATGCTTGTGTTGATACGTTCCCTAGCAACAAACTATGTCGCCTTATCATTATTATTATTATCAGTGTCAGTGTCAGTGTGCTTGTGTTGATACGTTCCCTAGCAACAAAYTATGTCGCCTTATCATTGGACTGCGCCGTTCAGTATGAATTTTAAAGGTTTCCATGCGAACTACTGACGATCACTGTATAATAACTGCTTCAGTGGACACAACTCGACAAAATGAACATTCAATATTTCACCAGTCTTAAACGAAAAACGAAGAGCGAAATAATTTCATGGCTTCAGAGAAGATCCTTAATTGCCAATCCCCTTTTTTGTGGAGATTGCAATAATAATATGTCCATGATCAGAAGAACGGACAGACACATAGACGGATACGTGTGGTAAGTATCGAAGTATTGAATGTCTTGCAAATGTTTTATGGTACTTTCCTTTCAAAGCATTATATAAAGTTTACTTCATCATTACGCATATTACGCATGTTATAAAAAAGTTTATTTCATCGTAAAGATTAGTTTATATTTTTTTAGCGTTGTAAATTTAGTCACATTTTTTTGTCATTCTGGCCCTCCACATTCTACTACTTACTGCTGAAGAACAACTTTTGAATCCCTGTTGAACATCGATTGTTTGTGATTTGCAGGATCTATCCGAAAAAACAGCATATTTGCGCTCTTTTCGAAGATATGTTTGGGCGATGCCATGCTTATGTTTTTTTACTCGGCGCAAGACGATAGCCGCAAACACACTGCCACTGCTTTGGGTTTGAGCATGAACTTGGTGTCTAAGTTTTTTAGAGTCCTGCAAGACGTCTGTACCAATGAGATCGAAAAATACGCCCCATTCCTTCCGTTTGGTGGACCAGGCTGTGTGGTTCAGTGCGACGAGAGTAAATTCAACCACAAGCGAAAGGTAAGCCGTAATTCAGTGAAAGCATTTGGGTGGGCTCCGGTATGTTTTTAGTATTTTCCACGTACTTATGTGTAAAAGATTCAAGTAGCTCATCGTAAATTGCCTTTATATATTACAAACTATTAAATTACTAGACTCGCTCGTGAATAAAAACKATATCAAACTTTACGCTCCGCCTAACAGGTCGCGGAAATAGATATAA